GGCAATATATCAATTGTTCAATGACGTGACGAATTGCAAAAAAATCACGGTTATGGCAGAACTAAGAATACGGCACGAATTGCGGCTTATTGGAAGTAAACGCTACTTCACTAAAGATAACTTTGTTGGCCTTTTCAAACACTGACTCAGAGTTATTAAGGCTTCAGTCCAAAACGACGCCTATGACGGGCGGCAAGAAGAAAGCGAACAACCAGTCGACTGAATCATGAACAGAAGCGCGGTGAGTGCATTTCCACGTTAGTTTCGGTTTTGCCAGTTTCCCACGCAATATAGCCAATAAAAAGGTCCGTGAGTGGACGACAATCGGAAACTATGATTCAACCTCGTAAGTCAATTATGTACACAAATTCAAAGAAAATTCGATTACCACGGAAGAGACGGATCGGAAAAGGATCTGGTCAAACCAAAGAAGGTAATTTCAATGGAACTGTTTTTTATACAGTCGTACTGAACCTCAAAACATTTACTCTACTAATCCGAAAGATCTGCCTGCAACAATTACCACAATTACAATTACAACAAACAACAGTCGCAATGCAAAACATGACTGTAAATACCACAACAATGCCGCAAACAAAACGAAGTCACTGAACAACGGCAGAGAAGTAAAGACAAATAACTCGTTGAAGGTACCTTCGATTGAGACAACGCTGTCGCGTATCTGCTGAGCGATCAGCGAATCCGAAATCAGCTCGACGAGATCATAAATGGCGTAAATGCAAGGATGAACGCTTTCGAACCGTTGAATCTCCTGTTTGATTTGCTCAGAGACGCTTATGCTTGAAGCACCGCCAACTTGTAAGAAAGCCATTTAAAAATGGTGATTGTAACACGCCAAATTATCCTTCTTCCAACTTCCTAGCATATCTGAGGCCACTTATTCTTCACGCACCATCCGTATTATTCTTACTTTAAAAGTGACTGTTTAGCGACAGTAAGAATATTACACTTGCAGGTCAGTTGTAACGTAACCGTTAATTTCTTTAAGCGGATATCTTCCTCGAAATCGTGCAGATCATTTTGAGATCTCTATGCTGCAAAAATCTTCAACTTTGTTAAATCTTCTTGTTTATCTAAGCTATAAGTTATCAAAACTTTTCCGAGTCGCGACGCCATCTTATCGACGTATAGTGACTCGCTCTCCTGATGCGTTTAGAAAGGCTTTTTAGTAGGGTACAAAACGCATCAAAATATGATCTTTTAGTACAAAATAATTTTAATTTACAACATATTAAATAAGATAGTTAAAGTTTCAACTCGCTAATAAGCTTCAAAATTCGCGATTGAGTTTTCGCTGATGCCAACATCATTTCATTGTCAACATTTCATCTGTTTCTTATTTTGGTTTTCAAATGAGGAAGCGTTGAAAATTCACACTCACAGAGATATGTAGAAACAATGGGGTGGGTAAAACTCGAAAAGCACGCATAGTCACATTTTTATATGCCTGATGGATAGCACACCAGAATTAAGTGAGCAATTTTCATGAAAAAAGTTGCGTGCCGGGGAATCTTTCCGCAGATCCAAGAATTCATCTTTTACTTCATCGGGAATGCTAATTACTTCAAGAGGAGCAGAAAGCGGATTTCGTACCAGTGAAGCGTTTTCTGTCAGCTCAAAGAAGTAACGTTGGAATTTGTTTTCAATGAATTCAGCATGCCCAGGGATCTCTTGTTTAAAATAACCAAATTTATTTCACTTTTCACGGCGCTGCTCCTCTGGTTGATCGTAATTGCCAGCTCTTGGCTGCTGCTCGTTGAAATGAGATTATGATATCTAGATCGCGTGATTCTTGGATTAAGCACATTGGTAGCAGAAACATACGATTTATTATATTTCGCAGAATTCGCTTACGTAGACAAGTCTCTGTAGATGACGCGATGGCGTCGTCTTTTGTTTCCAAAGAGCTGCTTATGTAAATGCTCTGCGTGTTCATGTGCGTGACTATGGCTCGCTTCAGTGTATTCATGGGAATACATAATGTTAAACTGCCAATGTTTCTAAAAGTTATATTCGCTATTAAAAAGTATGATATTATTCAAACTCTAAAACAACGATTAAAAATAAAAATTGCTTTATAATCAATATTTTCAGTTTACTGTTTCTGTCGGCGGCCCCATAGAAGGTCCTACGTGAGCCCATTTGGGGTCGCGACCCATGGGCTGGGAACTCGTGATCTACGGTTTTATGGATAAAATGTTTGCCATATTTAAAGCTAATGTTTTCCTTTAACCGTAAGCATATGCATGAAAATTGTACCACCACTTGGTACGCTTCAAGAATAGTTCCAAGGAGATCGATACACTGTCTTTTTCAGATTTAAGTTGACAATTAACATTAAAAATAACGATAACGGAATGGAACCGTAGAAGTTCGCATTGAAAAGAAAATTCTATTTCTCACTTTGCAGCAATTGCATAACTGCCCCGCTCCCTTGCTTCTAACCGCCTAAGCGTTATTTGAGAAGACGACAGTGATGTTTACCTACAGTGCAAAGGACGCATAATCGCAACTCTTAGTTGGGTTGAACAACGCTTTAATCAGTCTCAAACGCCTTTTCCTACGATACGTAGGCAAATACAATCAACATTTCAAATATTAGTCTATTATAACACATCTTTTCGTTCAATTATTTAATAGTTCCGATAGGGTGGGCAACCACTGTTAAATTTAAAATAAAATTGAAGACAATTTTGCATCTGAAGGCTACAAGCCGCCTGTCTGAAATGTCAAATTCAGAGTTGCTTCCCGTATTTGTGAATGACGAATTCTGTTTCCGCGAGGGTTCACAGATGTTCCATGAATCTCTAAACAGTTAAAGACTTATTCCACGATAGCAAGAGTATTCAAAACGGAGAAACACAAGGAATGCTGTAATTGTATGGACATTACGTTACTGAGCCTCCCATGTAAAGCCTACGCAAAAGTACTAGAGAGGAAATGCCGCGGCCGCAAAATAGCTGACTTCAAGATACTAGAAGAGCAGCGTGACTTCCGCCCCTGTCGAAGCACCACTGACCATATATTTGCTCTGCGCCAGATTGTTGAGAAATCGTAGGAGTACGCCCTTGCTTTGTTGACCTCAGAAACCCCATGACCAGATTCCACGCAACAGTCTCTGGTCATGCCTTCGAGCAGACCGAATAGATGGCCAGCTGCTAAGTGCGATTCAATCACTGTATTCTGATAGCAGCTGCTGCGTCAGAGTAAATGGCATTAAGTCAAATCCTTTCAACGTTCGCACTGGACTCCGCCAAGGCTGCGTCCTGACCCCTATCCTGTTTGTGTCGTACATGGATAGAATAGTCAGGAAGTGCCAAGGCGATGAGTGTATCGGTGTAGGAGACGTGAAGACGAGAAGGCTGCTATTTGCAGATAACCTTGTTTTATTAGCATCGTCTGAATCTGATCTAGAGTGCTCCGTAGAAAGGTTCGCAGTGGAGTGCGGCCTGATCGGCATGCGCGTGAACGCATCAAAAACGAAAAGCCTAGTGCTTTCTCTTTCTCCTGCCCGTTGCTCTCTTCAGATTAACGGAGGGACAGTGGAGCAGGTGGAGAAGTTCAATTACCTCGGAACTGTATTAACCAGTGATGGAAAATTGGAGGAAGAGATCGACAGGCGAATTGGAGCGAAGAGTGGCGTTCTGCGTGAACTAGCTCAACCCGTTGTGACGAAAGCAGAGTTCA